TGAGGAGGTGCTAGAGGCAGTGCCAGCCTGGTACTGATCTGGGGTGGAGGTCCTGACCCAGTACCGGGTCTGTAGTGATGGGGAGGAGATGCTGGAGGCCTGATACCGGTGGGAGGGGGAAGCTCTCCTGGTTCAGTACTGGGGTGAGCAAGTGCCAGAGGGGGTACCAGACCCAGTACCGGGTGGGGGTGGTAGCGGGGAGAAAGCTCTCCTGGTTCAGTACTGGGGTGAGCAAGTGCCAGAGGTGGTACCAGACCCAGTACTGGGTGGGGGTGGTACCGGGGAGAGGGGGGCGCTGCTGGAAGCAGCATCTGCGCTGGGCCGGTTGGACCTGATGCAGGTGCCTGAGTGCCGGTTCCGTGAGCCCGTGCGGGTGCCCCGACCCGCTTTGCCCCCGCAGCTGCAGGAGATCGTGTTCCGCAACTTCTACACAGCCTTCCTGAGTGTGCGCGTGCAGCGCGCCCAGGGCCCGCGCAAGTGGCTCACGTGCGTCAGTGACTACCGCCTCATGGCCAGCCCGCACACCGAGGAGGGCGCCCAGGACTACTTCTCCCTCCTCCGACACCAGGTGGGTGCCCCCCGGGGGCTCCGCTCCGCGCTCCAGGGGCTCTGCGCCCCAGCGGTGACAGCGACCCCGGCCCTGCAGATGCTCTGCGACGTCGACCAGGTGACGGCCGTGCGCTTCATCCTGCGACAGCCCTCACCTGTCTGGCTGCACTTCACCATCGAGGAGCTGCAAATCTACCCGCCCAGCCAGAAGGTGACAGGTCCCTCCCCCCTCATTTCCACCTGTTTCCCACCTGCACCAGCCTCGGTTGCAGACGCCCACCCTACGTGCGCGTTAATGGCAGCGGCGATGTCCGCGGTGGAGCGGTCTGGACTGCAGCAAGGATGGAGCGGGGCTGGCGGCGCTTGTGTGATCCTTGCTCTCTATTTCAGAGCCCGCAGAAAGATTTTCCCTCCTGGCTCTCGCAGCTGGCTCCTCCGGAGCAGCCGGCTGTCCTGCACAGGGTGAGGAGCCGCTGTTAGGGTATTGCTGGGAAAGGGGGATGGGAAACAGGCCGGCATCCCGGGTGTTTCTGGGGTCTGCCGGTGGGACGCTGGTGGCTTCTGGACTCAGCAGTGGGCGAGGTGTGATGTGAGTAGGGCTGGGTGCCTGTGGAGGTGAGGGCTGTCCGGGGGAGGAGAGGCGTGTGGAGTCAGGAGGAGGTTGGGAGACAAAATCCTGCGGGGGGCTGGAGGGTGGAGAGGCTGTGATGCAAAGGAGCAACATGTGGTGTGCAAGAGAGGGCTGCGAGAGGCACCTTCCTGCAGCCTGGAAAGGAGAAGGTGAAGGAGGATGAGGAGACAGAGTCAGGCTCCTCCTGGAGGTGCACGGGGCAGGAGGCGATGGCGCAGGTTGGGGTACAGGTTATTCCTGCCGGTTGCATGGACAAAGCTCCACGTTGGAAGCTAAAACAATGTCTGGGAGGTGCTGTGGGGTCACAGGCCTTGGGGACAAGTCAGTGCTTGGCCAGACGCAGGTCTGAAGAGCCTGCTCTAATTCGGGTGCTGGGGCTGGACCTTCTGGCCTCAATCCGTCCACGATTCCCCAAGCGCGGAGCCCAGAGGGTGACTCCGGAGGACTGTGGTTTGCTGGAAACAGCCTGCAGCGTCCCGAGGGAGAAGGCAGGAGCTCCCTGCGGCCGCGCGGAGCCAGAGCCCTCCAGCAATGCAAAGCACGAGGGAGCTGCGGAGCAGAGCTCACGCCAGGGCAGGCGGTGCTGTGAGGAGACCCCTGCACGTGGTCCCAGCTTCCCTGTGCTGCATCCTGCCCCATCCAGGCCCTGACTGGGAATTAGTAGCAAGGACTGGGAGCATTCTCGCTCGTGCTTGCAGAGTTCAGACAAGAGTAAATCCCGCCTGTCCTGTGCAATAGGGGAGGTTAAATCTGCCCATCCTTCATGGTGGGGATAGGGACGTCACTGGGGACCAGTGGGCAGTGGCAGTGCCCAGGCAGCTGTGGGATGCTTGGGAGTGGGGGAAGCGTCACCGTTCCCTCGTGTCCCTGGGTGTTTTGCACCCCCTGGCAGTTTGCAAATGGGCACAGAGTGAACCGAGCGCTTGCCCAGCTCCAACAACAGGCGGTTGAAGGGAAATCACAGCCCCCAGTTGTGGCCGCGGAAAGGGTTTAGGGCTGTCGGCACTGCAGCCAGGCCTTCGTGCCAGCCTCCTGGTGAGCGAAGTCCGTGGGCACTGCAGAGGGACGTGGCCAGCTTGCTGGGCGAAGAGAGGGACTTCGGTTAAAATACACTGAGCCAGCTACTTCAGTTGCCCATAAAAACCAAGAAAGCACTGCCCTGACAACGGAGTCGTCCCACGCCGCGTCCCCGCTGTGTCCTGCATGGCTGAGAGCAGGAGCTGGGGTGTGTGGGACGGGGAGCGCAGCTCAGAGAGCGCAGCTCTCTCACTCTGGAGAAGCGAGTCCCAGAGCGGCATGTGAGGCTGTAAGTCCTGGCCAAGTGAAGATCCGCACCTGGAGAGGAGATTTAGTGCCCCCTCCGATATAAAACTTCTGAGCTTGCAAAGGCCTGAGGAGTGTGAAGCGGGGAGGCTGCTGGGAGACTGGACTGTGTGATGAGATCTTTTTTAATCATTAGCCAATTACGTGTTTTTTGTCCTCGCTCCAAACCAACAGAGACGGGCTGTTCTGTGCTGGGGACAGCCACAGCTCAGGGCCACCGGAGGTACCAGGTGGCCGTTTCCTAGATCACGGCCCTACTTTTTTTTCTTGTTTTCCAGGGTTGGGAAACTCCCGCGAGGTCAGGAACAAGGGGCTCCTTCCTCCGGGACACAAGCGCCCGGCTGCCCATGGCTCCCTTGGGGTTTGGGAGAAGGGGGTTGAGGAGGGGACGGTGTCTGTGGGGAGATGGACAGGAGTCCTGCCCTGTTGGCCGTCTTCGTTGAGGGTGGCCCGGCTGCTCTGGTGCACCGTGCTCAGCCCCAGCGCTGCAGCCCTGTCCGCGTGGGCTGTGACGTCACCCTGAGTGCTCTGACCTTGCTCTTTCTGCTGCTCTTCTCACCAGGAGCTCCCTGATCCAGAGAAGGTGTCCGCAGAGGCGCAGCAGATGTGGGTGTTGACGGAGGTGATTCGCGCTCGCCAGGCTGCCGCCCGCATCGGGCGCTTTGACGTGAGTCACATCGCCCTGTCCCTGAGGTGCCCCGGCTGTGGCCTTGCAGTCACCGTCCACGTGCCTGGAGGGGGTAGCCTGCGGTGCGCTGGGGCGGCGAGGCCGCGCAGGCGTCCCGCTGCGGTGCCAGGGCCGGGGAGAGGGCACCTGGCACAGCGCGGTGTTGCACAGATGCCGACTGTTGCTCTGTCTCCCAGGTGGACGGTTGCTACGACATCAACCTGCTGTCCTACACATGAGCCACCCGCCGGGACGCTGCTCCGCCGGGACGCTGGCACCCGCAGGGGACACGAGGGGCTCGTGTTCTCCCGAGTTCACTCCTGCACGGAGCCGTTCCCAAGCCTTGCCTGTCCCTTTCCCTGACTCCTCTTGTCCTAGCGCTTGGTGGTGGCAGCACTGCCTTCCCGTGAGCCCCGTGCGAGCCCCTTGTGGCACTGGGGCCCCTGGTTCCTGCAGTTTGCTGCTGGTTTGTCCCATCCCATCGCTCCGGGTCCTCCCATGCAGGGTGGAGGCCAGTTGGGCCTTATCTCTGCAGCAGCTGCTCCTGGAGATCAGGGGAAGGGAGTGTGGCCTGCGCCATTGCGGGACCAAGTCGGGGCTGCGGACGTGCCCAGAACTCGGCGCTCCCCGTGTTGCTCGGAGAACTCCGCTTGCTCGGGAAGAGACTAAATCGCGACTAAAAGCTGCTACATTGGCGCTGGCTGCACCTGGGTGTCTTGGGGGCCCTCATGGGGGATCAACAGCTCCTGAGCCCAGAGCAGGGCGTCCCGTTGGCACCACGAGCAGCACTCGCTGGCCTGGCTCCCTCGCTGGCCCTGTTCCCTTTTGTTGCTGGGGGTCACCACATGCCAGGTTGCTCCGTGGGGGTAGCTGGCCCTGGGTGGGGGGTCACCAGCCCCAGGGCTGTCCCCAAACTTGCCGTGGGTGGGGGCAGCAGCCTGACCCCTGCCCCTCATCCCCTGCCAGCCCCAGAGCTGAGCCTAAGGGGGACAGGGGGCCTAGTCACTGCCTGTCACCACCTGCTAGCCCCAGAGCAGACCCCAGGGAGGACAATGAGCCTGGTCTCTGCCTGTCCCCACATGCCAGCCCCAGGGCTGACCGCGAGGGGGGCAGTGAGCCTGATCCCTGCCCGTTCCCACCTGCCAACTCCAGGGCTGACCGTAACGGGACAGTGGTCCCCAACCCCTGCCCCTCATCCCCTGCTGAGCCCAAGGTGAGCAGTGGGCCTGATCCCAGCCCGCCACCCCCTGCCAGCGCCAGGCGGAGCCCAGGGGGGCTGATGGGGTGACCCTGACCCCACAGCTGGCCCCGAGGGGGGCACCTGCCAGTCCCGTGCCTCACACTAAGGGGG